GTGTGTGTGTGCGTGTGTGTGTGTGTGTGTGTCCATGCTCATCGCCAAATTTCTGATATGCCCCGGTAGCATCTCTCCCGGGGCCAGGGGAAAGACTGTGAGTGTCAACAACGGCCACAGGGGCTCGCTGGTAAGATTGGATGGTACCAAGAAGGGCATATGGGAAACTTTTGTGCTGGTTCTCAACGGCCATCCGGTAGGGGCATACTGAAAATTTGGTACTGGTACCGGTAGGGGCATATGAAACATTTTTCAGGCCCAAACGACGCCAGGGTTTTTCTGGAAACATCATTCGTCGTCAGAGGGGCACGACAAGGTAAGTCCGCCGTCAGAGGGGCACGCCGCAAATAAATGCAAACTTCAGGGGCATCTCAAAAATTTTCCCTAAAAAAAAAGAAATGGACTCAGAAGATTGCGGCTTACCTCTTGAAATCGCAGTGTCCTTTCAGATACGCGGAATTCACCCCATTCCCGACAAAGGGACAAGACCTGCCCAGTCATAAAAAAAACAAAACAAAACAAAACAAAAAACATCAGTGGGACTTCGAAGTCTGAGGTCAGTGCAAGAACTCGGGTTGAAGATGAGACAAAAAATGTGAGGCTCAAAATAAGACAAAATGAAAAAATCTGTAGCTTCAGAAGAATCAAAAGACTAGATGAACCCAAGAACCTAGCTCAGTGGGTACAAGTTCTACAACACCCATGAACTGTTGAAATACAGACCCGAGTTCGAATCCATATGATATGATGAAACTTGACAAGTAAAGTTGTAAAACCAGCTATTTCTGAATTGCCTGGGGACGGTCAGCTCAATGATGATATCTCAAGGCCGTCACCCTTTTTTTTTCTTTTTTTTTGAAGACTAGATGAAAGCAAATGTTATGTTGTGAATGGTCAACCATTGGTATCTCAAAGGAAAAATGGACTCCATACATACATGCGACGGCAATCAGAATAGGTGGGAGAGACACCATAGACAGGAGGTAGTCAAGGTCTTCAACTTAGATAAACTTGAAGTACATCGAAGGTGAATCGAAAAATCCGCAGCTACGTCGCGGCGGACTCAACTCAGCGCATTCAAATGTTATGTTGCTTGAAGACAATCTGCGAGGAATGAGCCCTCGGGGGGGCCCTTGTCAAGCATGCACATGTTCTGGGCAGAGGCCCCCAGCAAGCCAAGTGCCTGTCCTAAGTGAAGGTGGGCCTGAATATTCACTAAAGGCCAAAATTCGACATTTTTCATATGAGGGTACTCAGGCTGTTTCAGCCCGCCAGTTGTTTGAGTGGACGCATGAGCCTCCCTAAGCTGCATCGTACAGTTTGGCCCAGGCCTTGGCAGTTGCCCCTGGGCACATACACACAATGCAGGGCCTATACATCACGAAGTGGCTACAGGCCTACGCAAAAGCAACACTGTCGACGTACATACCCGGGGTCCTGTACAAATGCAGGGAACGACCCAAGTCTGGAGACTCAGGCCGTGCCCAACTGTAAAGGGCCCAGCCCCTCAACTGTAGCACTGGGCCTGGGCGCAGGCACTGGGGCCCAACCGGAAGCTACTGGAAGCTTCCAGCCAGGCCACACGCAGCCAAGCAGAGGATGCCACTTCCATATAGGAAGGAAGGCAGCCAGGGTCTGGCATTCTGGCCCACGCAGGCAATGCGGTCACGCTGCTGCACTGCTGCGTTAGAGGCTGCGTGCTCCGCTGAGGCCAGAGCGTGTGCGGGCGCGTGTGAGGCGAGGAGGGGCGCTGCTGGGCAGCGGAGCGCTAGCAGCCATAGTCGGGCTGCAGGGCGCTAGGGGCTGAGGGGGCGATCGGTGGTCTTCAGGAAGGAGGCGAGTGTGGGTGGACAGGGTCTGATGAGGGGAGACGAGATACGTACCTGGTACATGAGAGAGGTCGGCTACGGTGTTGACGTCATGTACATTGGTCTTCGAGAGTCGAAGTGAGCCTGTTGCGAGAATGCTGATGTAGGTAGGATAGTCGAGTAGCGTACTAGGCTGGGCACTGGGCGCCAGACAGAGAGGAGCGACTTTGGATACTGTGTTGGTGCGGCCTGAGGGCTTGAACATTGGCTCATGACTTCATTGTATTGCTCTTATTTGGATGGAAACTCAGTGCATTTGTACTCTCTGCTTGTACAGGACTACTTGGACATCTGTGTGATTTCACAACTTGGTTTTCTGTGTATAGCATATTCCTTGCAAATCCCTCTTTTGGGGGAAAAAAAAGCAAAGAAAAGAAAAGGTGCCTTGAAGATCCGAACAGTTCCCTTGGTCGCTGTCTATGAAACATCGGACACTTTTTGTTTGGGAGGTAACTTCAGTAGAGTCACAGAAACGAGTTATAATTGCACTACGGGACAAGATACAGTTTGCCATTGCACTTCGGGCACCCTACCTGGCCAGAAAGCTGGGTTGTATACATTGCCCGAGCTGCAATTGCAAACTGTTTCTTGCCCCATAGTGCAATTATAACTCATTTTTGTAACTCCCGTGTACTTTCCCCTTTTTTTTTTTTTTTTGTGTGACAGCTGACCCACTTATTTCACGGTAATTTTCATCCCATTTTTCACTTCCCTAAGTTTCCTTCCCTTGCAGATAGACATGAGACCAGATAAGCAAAAATTATGCAAACCAGTTTGGAATCTGAATTACACACCATGTGCATTGCATGTAAACAGTATGCCTTTATGTACATTGCATGTAGACAGTATGATGTGATGTACATTGCATGAAAACAGTATGCTCTTTTTGCTGATCCACTTCCTCAGTGAAGTTAAGTTGTGTCTCACCACACACACACACACACACGCAGGCACACACGCACGCACGCACGCACACGCACGCACGCACGCACACGCATGCACGCATGCGCACACACACACACACACACACACACACACACACACACACACACACACACACACATGTTTTTCTGTTCCCTCTCTGTCTCCCTTGTGCTATCCTCAGTGTCCAATTGCTGCATCTATGCCGCGGCACGCGTGTGGACGTTCAATGCTATGTAAAGTTCGTAAACACACACACACACACACACACACACAGGTTTGTCTGTTCCGTCTCTGTCTTCCCTGTGCCCTCCTCAGCATCCAAGTGCTGCAACTTTGATATGTGCCAAGTAGTCAGTGTCTGTCAGTATGGAGCACCTGCAACACTAATAGGGGGGCTGATGCATTCTCGATGCCATGGTACCTCCAGCAAGCAGTTTCGGAGGTCCACTGCCCACTTCGACTTGAGCTCTAGTTCCCCATTCAAATTAACACGGTTGCTTTAATCACTGCTGCATCCATGCGTCTCTGTGCTGCAGCTGCCTTGTTGCCCCTGTTGTTGCCTGCATTTGGTGTCTTGCTTGCTGTCTGCCCCGCCCTTCCGCCTGCCTTCCCAACTGCTCGCCTTACTATACACACTGGCCTAGTGCATACTGTACTGTCTGCCATGTTGTGTGGGCCAGTGTGGCTGTGTCCCTGCCTCCCTGCCCGCCATAAGCTGTCTTGTCCATGCTGCCCTGCAAGCTTTTTGGGGCTTGCCCACTCGCAACGGGGTCTGCCACAGGTTATGACTCAAAGCATCGCCAGATTTTATGACTCAAAGCACTGTTGCCTGCCCGCTATGCCTTGCTGTGAGTCGCCTTGTCTGGATAATCATAATCGAATGGTGAGAAGTCAAGAACACAATTTGTTCGGCATTACCTCTCCTGGACGGAATACCCATGTTAGATCAAAACCGGGCACTAACAACCATGGCTACGCCGGTCCGGGATCCGGACCCGGACAGCTCATGTCCGGGGACCGGACGCATGTCCGGTCAGGTCCGGACACATATCCGAACCTCCAGACATGCATGGTTCCGGACGGTCCGGACTGGTAAGCAGGTCCGGAAATGTCCGGACCATTAAAAAAAAAAATAATAATAAAATGATATTAAAATCTGAAAAAAAAAAAAATGTTATCCAGAATAACAATGCAAACCACTTTTGCCTCAGACTCACGTCAGAACCGGACGTCTGGAGTCCGGACTGAATCCAAAACGTCTTGACGGCGGTCCGGACGTCCGGATCGTAGCCATGCTTACAACCCATGCAGTGCGCTTCCTGCCCGAGCGAAACAACCGATGACTACAGGGCTTTCAGCTGGCAAAACTTTTGCCCAGTCGGAGTAAGAAAAAGAAAGAAAGGAAAAAAGGGTTTCACCGCCGCCAAAGTTAGTCGCACATACTTCTCTTCGTGCCAGGTATGACTGGCGGTTATCGGTTTACTCACCCACGTACGACTTATAACAGTTAATAGTGCTTTACTGAGCCGCAACTCTCGTATTTCCAGGAAGATTCTATGCGCCGAAGATGGACGGGACTAATCGGTCTGCCAAAGCTGTGGGATGCAAAATAACATCGGTAGGGGAGCGTTCCGCTCTAGGGAGAAGCATCAGTGTAAACCGGTGTGGACGACACAGAACCGAGAATGTCGGCTTGAGTAACGCAAACATTGGTGAGAATCCAACGCCCCGAAAATTTAAGGGTTCCCCCTTTCAAGTGCAGGGGTCACCCTAGGATGGCAAAGCAACTGACAGGTTTCAGTTTTTGGCTTTTCAGGCAAAAATGAGTTTTGGCCTCCGGGCCTTTAGGCAAAAAAAGGGTGTCAGCCTTCTGGCTTTTAGGGGAAATTTAGGCAGCATAAATTTTGGCCTACTTAGGTTTCCAAAAACTGTGGCTTTTTTTCCAACTTTTTTCAACTTTTTTGCGGCACATTTTTCTCTTCGTGCCGGCTAACGGTTTACTCACAGAACCTCTTGCACCTCTAGAAAGAATCTCCCCTTCAAAAAAACAGGAGTCACCCTACTGTCTTCACCCGATTATAACGCCTGGTGATTGTAGCCGTATTTGGTGCAAGTTTCAGTCTAGGTACAGAGATAATGACCGGGCGTTGTATTTGGGTGACGACGGTAGCGCCGCACAGCAACTGCTCAGTCTCAGACTCTCAGGCTGTTAGCCAGCAGCACCTTCCACTTCAGCAGGGCCTCATTGCCATTGATTTGACTCAGTCAGGATTCTATTCATACCGGTTAGCTAGTAGTTACTATCATCTTCCCCTGAATAGCACGCATGCGTCGCATCGTCATTATAGCTGTCTGTATTTGGGGCAACTTTCAGTCCAGATACAGTTGTATAGCTGTCTGTATTTGGGGCAACTTCCAGTCCAGATACAGTGGTAATGACCACACGTGACTTTCTGTTCAGAGGACGATGGTAGCAGTTAGTGGTTTCAACTTTCACCAAGTCACTTGATTCGCCTCCGGGAAGAATTGTAGCATCAAATAGAGGGTTCGCCGACTCGCCGTAGAATGGCGAAGTAACTGATAACTCTCAGGTAAAAAAAAACAAAAATTGAACAAACCGGCCCGCGTCGGGGTGGGCGCAGCGCTACCGAGGTCACCACCACGGAGAGGAGCCGCGCGCGCCTGATAACTGCACGCAGCAAGGAAAATAGTGCGCGCGCGATCGACGATTGCGCGCGATTGGGTGCGCGCCCTGAGCTGAAATTTGGACCACCAGTGGTCTACGCTGAGGAGCTGAGGTGGTCCAAATTTCAGACTAAACGGTCCAGCGGATCATGAGATATCGAAGTTTTAGGGCGCACCATGAAATTTGAGCGTGTCGGGCGATGAGGACGACGGGGGGATGGAATGACATTTAAGCCTTCAACCTCAACACCTGCTGTTTCCTGACTTTTAAAAGCAGGTCTACTGCCATCTCTCTACTTTGCGCTTCAAACGAGTGATGCTACAGGATAGCATGCCGGATGAAGGAGGGTACTGCTTATTTGGACACTACTCTAGGAGTAATCACTAGTGCTCTTCATCTTGCGACTTTAGGTGGAGGAGGTCGGCTCGGCGCAAGAAGAAGAAGAGTACAATGTGTCCCGTGGAGTGGGAGGAGGATTGTCAAGGGATAGTGAGTGGGAGGGCTTCGAGGAGAGTATCCATTTCGTCAAGTGCTCATCATCATCAGTAACAAGATTAGTCATCACCGTTGCCATCATCAACAACATCATCATCACCATCATCTTCATTTTCAGCATCGAGGTGGAAAGAACGTGGCAGCGGGAGTGCCGGGCAACAAAAGGACAGAGAGGAGCAGCAGCATCAACATCAGCATTATCAGCAGCAGTAGCAGCATTTCTGACATCATCATCATCATCATCATTATGTGAATCTTTATTGGTGAGTCATCATTATCTTCATCATCAGCTTCGTCATCATCATCATAATCATCATCATCATCATCAGTATCATCATCATCAACATCATCATCATCATTATCTTCATCATCATCATCAGCATAACTGACATATCATCATCAATATGAGCATCTTCATTGGTGCGTCATCATCATATTAATCTTCATCATCATCACTATCATCATCATCATCGTCATCTTCATCATCATCATCATCAGCAGCAGCAGCAGAAGCAGCAGCAGCATTATTGATATCATCATAATCATCATCATGAGTATCATCATTGGTTAATCTTCATCATCATCATCATCATCATCATCCTTATCGATATCTTTTTGTTATCAGTAGATTTTACTCTTCAAGGCTTCGTGTCGCTTTTCGTATCATCATCATCATTTCCGTTATCATTATCTTCAGGGCGCTATCCTTCGCCTCCAACAAAATCCAAGTGGAATGACAATTTGGTGAGGGGGTAGGGGAGAGCCCGGCCCCGCAGGGGTTTCATTAGGAGGGAGG